TTAGAATTCATGGACTGTCCATTGGATCGGGTCCCAGTGGCTTAATGGTATACGAGCTCGCCTTGTAACCGGAAGGTCCTGGGTTCGAATCCCCTAAGGTGGGTGCGTACTGCTGAAGAGTCCCAAACTAGGACGAAACAGCTGTCCAGTACTCCCAGGTTTTCCAATGGTTCTCTAACTAACTACTGTCAGCTCATGATGAAATCCTGAAACCAATCAAATCCCTACAAACCAACACTTCAACATGATTTTCTTCAAGGATACACACAGACACACGTCCTGTTGACTGACTGGTGAGTGACAACAAACACACAACCAAACAATAGAGTTTGGTTGGAAATTATTAGTCACAAAGGTTGGATGCATCTGCACCTGCCATTGAGAACTATTTTGAGGCATACCACTGATTATCTCCAGCCACTGGTTCTTACCAATCCGAGGATTCCAACCCGGAAGTCTACACCTTCTTACGTGGCTTAAATTAACTGTTGTGGATTTCACTGACTGATGAAGTCATGTTTTGGTTTGACCACCACTGGATTTTTCCAACCTGATTTATCCTATGTTAGCCAGTTAACATTCCCCGTTGTCGGGGAAGGCGATGGATAGGCTAGACATACGTAACACATGTCCTAACCATCTCAATAGATTTAACTTCACACCCTCGTCTATCGATTTCCCCTCCTTTCCTGGCACTCCACAGCTAACATCAATATTGCTCACCCTATTATACCACGCCACCTAACACGGGAGATAGAATGCAGGCACCTATGATCAAAGACAACTAGCCTGCTTTTTCATCTCTTCCAATCTCAATGGCCAGGTCTCACTCACAGCCAGCCATAAAGGATGGTGGAGCGGACTGCTGAGCAGTACACACACCCTTTTTTAATCGATAATCGGATATCAGTCCATCCAGTGGCACATCAAATACGAAGAGACGAGTTGGACGCATTCGACAGTGACGCGGACTAGGCGATGAAAGCCTACGGGTAATGGTGGAGACAGGGAACAGAGTGAACTGGAAATTTGCTGTTGTTAAAGCCACACATAGTTTCACTCATAGGAACCCAGGGAAATAATAATAATCTATAATACTTATGTACTCTACTGTGTGCATTTTAATTCATTTACTGAATTTATTTATTTATATAAGCTGATTCACTGTACAATTGACATGTTCTTGTTTTCTTTACTTACGCACAGAATATAGATATATGAATAATTAAACAGGATATAGAAAATAAAGTGAAGAAAAAGAAGATTATTGATTAAAATAAATACTATGAATGTACACGAAACTCAATACAACTTGAAAGCAGAAATGAAAAGGTAAGAAGATTATTCAATTGTAGGACATTAAGGAAGCAGAACCTGTATAGATGGTAGCGAGGGATGGAAACATTTCGATACATGTTATGTCCTACTTCGGCCTAGTCATCCCGCTGGATGTGCGTATATCCTCATTCCAAATAAGTAAGTAAGTAAGTACGAAGGTGATGCTATTCCCAGTGAGATTTTCAACCCAGTATATATATCACTTTAAACGGTTAAGCCTTGTTAATCACTGAGGCGATTGTACGTTGTCAGTGGTTCAATAATAGAGTATTCGCGCCAACCACACCCGGCTGACACACTCTCCCAAACATCCCTCCTCTTAGCTGACAGCAGACCTAATAAAGAGGCAAAGTGGTTAGACATGAGAGTAGCAACCTCGACCCATAGAAGATTACAACACACCGGCTGTTAGCGAAACTTTGAAGCCCAAGTTTGAAACTCTCCATTTCATTCTTGGAACGTATAAGAATGAAAAAGAAATGAGTATTGTGTATGTGTTTTCGACTGACTGACTGACTGACTGACTGATTAAGGAGGAAAACAGTAGTAACATGGAAGATGAAAAAGGGTGAATGCATCTGCACCAATGAGAACGATTTTGAGCCATCATCAGTCATCAATCATCTTCGTTCAACCATTGATTCCCAGGATCTCGAGGACCGCAAACAGTCAGGAGAGCTTACACCTTCCGCAATAATCAAAGACTTGATAAATTGATACCACATTTTGTTATGTCCACCTGTAACTCTTTTCCGACCCAATTCTATGTCAACTAATATTTCTGATCGAGGGAGATGGGGTCACCTGGCGTAATTGACAGGTGTTCTAGCTTCACAACTCTCTCCTTAGTAACCAGTGCACTCCAAATTGTGGAGGCAACCAGTCACAGGAAGCCTTACCTGACCTATTGATAGGATCCCACATATTTTGGTATTGACTGTTTAAACTTGCATATATGGTATGTTATCGTTCTCACACATTTTGGTATTGACTGCTAATTTTGTATATATGGTATATTATCATTCTCACACATTTTGGTAGTGACTGTTAATCTTGTATATATGGTATATTATCATTCTCACACATTTTGGTAGTGACTGCTAATTTTGTATATATGGTATATTATCATTCCCACACATTTTGTTACTGACTGTCAACCTCGCACATATGGTATATTATCATCTCTCACGCACTTTGTTATTGGCTATTAAGATAAATTATTTCAAATGCTGTTAGCTGTCCATATTGTTGTAAAATGTATAAATACCATGGCTTTCTTTATCGTTGTTGCACTTCAATACACAGTCACAGTCCAGCCTTTGTCTTTTGATATTTGCGTGCTTTACTAAGTCGGAAGGTACGACGAGCAGATAGACAGATTAGTTCAGGCGCAGACAGAATAAGGTGAAAACATCATCATTCAATTCCCTACCGTTATAACACCTATGTTTCGTGTTAGGTTGGCAGTCACTAGTCAGTCAGCAAGGCGTATGTGCACCATGATGTCAAGCCACTTAGAATGGTGGTGACCACACTGCAAACTTGACTGATGACAGAATTCGGCCTACACCAAACACAAAGGGCTAGACACATATTACACCAGTTACTAATTATAGTGTCCAATTAAAATATCCAATACAGTCCCCCAACAGGAGGTCAATCACGCAAACCCGAATAACTAAGTCGTGATAGTGTCTCTGACTACAGCACTGGGTGATGATGCGGATTCGAATCTCAGAAGAGATATAAGTTGTGATTGCAGATACACCTTCCTTCCTGACTGACTGACTGGTGAGTGCCAACTAACAAGAAACCTAGACAAAAAGCAAGGCTTCCTGAGGCTGACTGCCTCCAATCATCTAATAACAACATCAACTCTCTTCTTACCACCTAACACTCAATACGCCTAAACCTCAATACGTTGCTCAACATACACATAATACCATTCTATTAATGAAATGTAGGAACGCTCCAGGAAAAGAGTAAAAGCCTACAGAGGAACTTAATTTCACAAATATGGTAGGGGTTTTGTTTTCTCATAAGATACTAACAGTTTATCAAGTTTTTTTAAAAATTATAAACAAAACAGCTAACCTGAACTTCAAAGAAGACCCTTCTAGATAGTCAGATAAATTTGACTTTGATAATTATTGAAGAAAGTTTGAACAACAGACTTCTTTTATTCCTTTACCTTCTTCCTAATGGAACATAAAGCTCCAACCTAGTGGGCTTTGAAGTTTCGATAAGGGTTGACGTTGCTGGCCTCATGCCCACCCTTCCCTCTTTATCGATTTCATTACCAACTTAGGGAGATCTAGTGGTGCGTCGGCTGAGGATCGAACCCCAGACCATACATGAGACGTGATTGGCGAGCATTCTACCGCTCTGTACCACCACCAAGACGTACTTGAATAATAATAATAATACTTTGCTTTATTCCAAAACAGTACTTGTGATACAGAATGGAACTCTCAGCATTTCACCACATACAGTATATTGCATCCAGTTAGTACACTATCAATAAATATAGTTCCACATAGATTAGGGAAATCTCAGTTCATTATGACAACATATTAGCATATCGGTAGAAAAGCCAAAATTGAACAGTGTTTGAAGGTGTTAGAAAAGTAGATACTACTAGCATATTTACTGGCGTAAGCGATAGCAAAATGTTCGAGATATACAGAGTGTGAAAGAACGAAAAAGAATGTTTTAAGTAAAGTTTGTAAGGAAAAGAGAAACAAAACAACACATAACAACAAAAAAGGTAGAGAGAAAACGTTGTACCTGTAAATGATGTGAGTTGGAAAGACGAGATCCATTTGTTCTACTGACTATTTAATAGGTTAAAGGTTTCACGCCTAATGCTTTCTTTATCGCACAGAACACGAGCTAGATAGGGTATGGATGAGTTTTTTGTACTTGCTAGTGCGGGCATATAGTTTCCTATATAGGCTTCTGGTTTTCCCTGAAGAGATACAAGGGGAGAGTTGTGAATGTAGAGGGTGTTGTGGGTCAGATAAAATGGTTTTCGCCCATTTTTCACATGAGTTCATGTGCCTGTTGACCAGAATACTAACAAGCTGGCTAAGTGGCAAACTGCTTACCCTGCTGACAACCTTTAACATCCTACGTACGTAATAAGGTATAGTCTTTTTTCAATAGTCCAGGAAAAACTACGGGGGAACAATAGAGAATAATAGGCAGAATACGGGAGTTAACTAATTGTAGGAGTAAGGGTTGGGTTACACCAGAATGTCTTAACTTCTTGATGTAGAAGGTAAGACGGAATATTTTCTTAGAAATCATCAAGATATGAGACTACCAGGAAAGATCAGCATATAGAATGACGCCTAGGTATTTAATTTCCGACTTGGTTTCTATTTTCAGTGCCATCTATGTTGCACACCAACCAGTTTGTTTAGGTCACTCAGATTTATGCCCACCGGTGAAAATGGCTGTTTGGCATCTAGAGGGATTTAGGGTAAGGTCCCGTTTTCCTTGGACCATTGGCTAATTTCTGATAAGAAGCCTTTTAGTTTGGAGCAGTCACTTGGACATTTGAAGTCCTCTAGTGATAGGAAATCATCACAGTAGATTGGACAAACGAGAATAATAATAATAATAATAATCGATAATATGAAATGATTACTATTACTCACCATCCATATAATAATAACTACATCCTTGAGCATCTTGACCAGCTTTAATGAGAACATTAACATCTTCAGGATCATCTGTACAGCCGATATCTCCTCCCCCTCCACCAGAATTGTACAGATCTTGTGATGAATCTACCACCATACGATCAAATCCTGTTGTTGATCCAGGACCATTGCTATTCCCACCACGTCCACCACTATTCGTCAGTGAACTATTAAAACATGTTGTAAAATTGAAATCAGGTTGTTCATCGTACACAGATTCTATTAAATTATCCAATAGAGCAGCTCTTGCAGCTGATCCCAACTGATGGACTAATTTTCCATTACGATGACGTTGTATATTTATTCGATATGATGTACGCTTATCAATAGCGAAACGATCAAGTGCTTGATCTAGCGTAGCCATACAAATATCTGGATCATCATGATTTAAAAATCGTAGGATACGAGCAGCAAGATCACAAAAGGCTACAGGATCAGGATCTTTTAGAACTTTTTGATAAAGATCCTAAAATTTATAAACAAAAAAAACAAACAAACAGGAAATGAATTAAAAATTTTAATTAATGTGTATATTCAGAAAACAATGACATTTGAGAGAGAGAGAAAAAAAACTCCCCTTCACAAACAACCTGATATCATCGAGGGTGGGTAAACTTGAGCCTTTCTCGAGAACCATTCCTATGTGGCCATGTGTTCATAGACACTGACACATAAATCCTACTGACTGCCTTTAGGCTGTGCGGGTGTCTCCACACGAAAATGAAAGAGCGAATGCAAACGTCTGGTGCTTATAACCGAACTGTTGGACTTGCAGGTCTACTCAGGAGAGCTGAAAAACCCTGATTTCAAACCTTTGGTGGTGTGTATATGGGCTACAGAATCCAAAAAGAAAGACCAAAGTGGCATATAAACTCGTTTTGGTAATCGGAAACCATAAGAACGCAACTTCCGACGCCATTCTACTGTACTGTAGATTAAACTTTGAGTCTAAGACTCGGGGGTGGCCCTGTGAGACTAAAACCACCAACTTTGGTCTGTGACTCCAGACAGTATCTCAGCCTTTGCACACACACACACACACACACTATGGGATTACGTGTGGCATACCTCATGATGACCATAATTTACCAAGTTGTTTTAAAAAAATTATTGATTAATTTAACATGAAATATCACACTATAAACATTCTCAGTGATATTTTTCATCTCATAATAAATCGATTAGTCACATTTTGGGTTTTGTAGGTAGTCTGATTAGTTCCAAAGGTAGTTTTCATCACGAACCATAACATCAGAGAATAGTTAGAAACCAGGGAACATTGGTAACATCTTTTTTGCTCTTTTGTGTTGTTGGCGAACTCTTCATCAGTATGCCCTCGTCATGACCCCCATCTGAGATCGAGCTCAGGACCTTCAGATGATGCAATTAGACCAGAATAGAATAAGTCTGCTCTTTATACTTTTCCTTTGCATCGAAGTTTCTGTAGCAGTTTGACTGATTTTCCTGGGTAGGGTAGTTAGGCTCACGCGGAACCATCCCTCTTTTCTCGGTCTTGGGATCGTCTAGTAAAAATAGCAAGCTAGTATTTTAGGCACGGGGTGATCAGATAGCTAGTCGGTAAACTCTAATTCTATCAATCCGCAATAAAGCGCCGCCGCCAATAAATGCCATAGATGAGTATTAGCTCCACCCTAATGTGGTGGACACTACCAGTCACGACTTAACATTAATTGTTTCTGTTAGGAGCAATTTTAATCACATTTTTTTCAAAGATTTCTATAACATTACCCATATCAAGACAAAATAAATTCAATTGAAAAGAAAAGTGATCAGATTATATTACGGTTGTGTAAGTGTGAGTGTGACGTGTGCTACTGATAACATTTATCAGTAGTACATACAGAGACATTCATCGGCATAAAAATATCAAATAGCAGGGAGATAGATTTTATATCAGAGAGAGCAAATGATACAGCGTTGTGGAGAAACATGGGAGACATGAAAGAAACACAATATGAAGGAAGGCCGGAAGTAGCAAATGGTTCGCTGAAGACAAGGTGTACATGATTTCGCTGCATACAGATACCAAATTTTAAATAAACATTCCTTTACTAAGTCTCTTATCTCGCAACCGTTACATGAATGTCACAAAAGGAACACACTATTGTAACTCTTTCCCCCCGGTTCTCCTAATTAATCAGACAAATACAAACACAAAGGTATAAGTCATTACGAAAGTAGGAACATGTCAACCACGAAATTGAAAATAAGCTTACCCCAGGTAGACTGATGAGTTCTATATTTTATCACTGCACTACTGTGGATTTTCTACACATAGATTTTTAACACTCTCAGGACCCCAATCGGACATCATACACACGCAACAACCTAGGTGCCTTGGACCGAACATGTGAATTAGTTTCAAATTCTAAAAGGGTATCCTATGTGTGTATGTGCAGGCATTTGGTCCACAGCCAAACCTATTAGGTCCAATGCCACTTCCCGAAGTAAGTTGAGCCATAATTCCATTCCAACATGGTTTGATGGTACAGTACTAGCTAGCAAGCTAGCCAACCAGCTAGCCACGACGAAGTCGGGTCAGGTTTGAATTCTAGTTGGTGCATTTCTAAACCTCGGCTAATTTTTAACTAGCCAACAGTAACCGATAACAAGAAAGACGCAAGCTTAGCAACCCCTTTGCTCTTGAAACATCAAAGTTCAGGCATGAAGCCCCCTCCCCTCTGTTCGACTGTGAAATTCAAGGAATGAGAAGAAAAAACCCACACTATTTATGCTTAAAGGAGCAGTCACTGTCGATCACTCTGATAATATCATCCTAAAGTTGTTCAGAGCTAGGCGCAGTTATTCAGAAGACTACATTTCTTAAGCATATTCACCCGAAAAGAAATATGGGATTAGACGGAGTCCTGAGTATTAAAGATACCCGTACATAACTTGCAAATTACTCAATTCCGGTTGAGATGTAAAACGGAGAAAACTCAATCGATAAGGGTTGTCAAGCTACACATCGATTCAGATAGTTAGGCTCTGGTCATATAGTTACACACATGCCAAACACCATTGCTATTCTTCGTCAGGTAAATGTTAACAGACACGTGCATCGGATTGATCAATCCATGTAGACTTCGAGTATCGGTTTGTGACGACGCCGCCAGTCACGCGCAGGTTGGCATAGACAGACTGTCTCACTGAAAGGAATTAAAGGGGACAAGTGTGTGTGGCTTTCTTCTACTGTACACATTCCCAAATAAAAGAAATGTCTCGGAAATATATATCTGAATACTACTACCACTAATACTGTGCGGCGACTTGAACTGCCGCACATTTGTGCAAAGTTCTATGTCGAAAACAGACAGACAGACTGTCGTCCACTGACCAGTTAGTTGATAAAAAAAACTGAAAGGAGGAACCTGGAGATGCAGAAGAAAATCTTTCCTTCACACAAAGGTGATATATATTGAAACTAGTCAACTGTCTAATAATGTACAAGAACACATCTAGACAGATGGATGGATCGACGAACAGACAGACAAGCCATACAAATACACACGCACGCACGACCACCTAGATTCACGAATGCCTTTTGTATACTTCACATATCATTAAATTATTATTTTTATTTAATTAAATTTTAGATTTTCCCGTCGATTGATTCGACCGAAGTGCTCGGTCTCAGGTTGACATGTCGGCGGCTTGTTATGCAGATGCTTCGACGATGTCTGGGCATGTAATTAGAGTTTAACCGGTGGATGATGACTAACAGTGGAATCCAGGATAACTCGCTTTTCGTCCTATTTCGGACTCGTCATCTGGATGTACCTGCATTTCCCAGTGAGTGAGTGATGATGTCGGTGGCACAGTCGTTAGGACTCTCACCGACCCCATGCACATGGTCCGAGGTTCGATCCCCGGGGACTGACGCACACCTGATATCTATGGTCGGCTTGCAAAATTTGGGCTACCGATATCCATGCTGACAATTTCATACTTGTACCAAAAGTACATTGTGGAATCAAGCTGTAATCAAAAATAAAATAATAAATGTTCCCACTGAAGCTCGAACCCAGTGCCCATAGTTTGAAACGCCATAGTCAAATAGGACGAAATGCGCATCCTGGATTCCACTGCTAGTCACCATCCATCAATTATATTATTATTATTTCAATGTAAATATTTCTCAATCCACCTTGGTTATCATCAGGTCGTCGTCACGGCACACTATGTGTGGTGTGGTGTGCTATTTTTATGGTTCTGGGTGCTATTATTATTATTACTACCACACATAGCAATACTATGAATACAAATTCACTACTACCATTACCACTAATGAGAAGAATATTGATAATACTGCCAGAAATTAATATGAAGGACACGATAAATATTTTTGTTCTTTTTGGCTGTTGACACAACACACAGACAGAGCGAGGGTGGAAGGAAGATAGAGAGAGAGAGACAGGTGAGATATTAGATCAAATTTACACTATTTTAACACTGCTCATTTCTACTTGATAACGTGAAAAGACTATTTTGCTCTTCTTGTTGTCATTCTTATTGTTTCACTTCGTTTATTTCTTTCTTTTTTACAAGAAGTGTCAATATGTGTGGAGTTGACTGAGTGTGTACACGCACGCACGCACGGAAAACACGTGAACAAACATGCTAATTAGATGACAACTACTAAAGAGAAACAGGCAGAGAGACAGAGAGAGAGTGAGTAAAGTAAACTGATGAGAAGGTCTGGTCTTAACACAAGACACTTGATAAAAGAAAATTATTGGCGTTGTATTCAAATAATTCAATGTGTGTACAAACATACAGGCACGCAAGCACAAGCACACAAACACACGATAGTGTTATTATAAACACACACACTCTAATTGTACAACGAAAGTATCAACTGGAAAATTTCACACTTGGAAGTGAAATATTTATCAAAACAATTAGTCCCTTTGATAAATTTGAATAAGGCATTAAGAAGACAAATTTCGCGAGATTACATCGTCATTTCGTAGTTTCTTTACAACCGCTTTACAACTAACATGGTTAACAATGATAAAATAAAGTTCATGAAAATTACTCAGTTAAATAAAAAGAACAAAAGTGCATACTAATGACCAATCATATTAAGATAGGTCTTGTAGTCCACGGTAGGCGAAGATTGAAGTCTATTGATTTTTGTACACACAGTTTAGGCTGTATGTGATTAATCCAAAGTGCTTCCATCACCTTCAATAACCGACCTTGAATTAGAGTTATGTGGTGAAATAATTGTGAAACAGTCATTAATATTGATTTTGTGACCAGACATTAATAAGTGTTTTGCAATGGATGATGCTGGATTTCTATTAAGATTAATCGCGTTAGGATTTTCGATATGATTTACTAGCCATTTTGGAACATGTCCTTTTCGACGACCACATTGGAACATTCTGTTAGTTATACGTATATAGGTGTCACCGCAGCTGCAGGTGAACTTGTAGATAC